CTTCCTTTGCATCACAAATGATAAATATGTTATCAACATACCGGCAGTATAGATCCGCACGTGAAGAGTGCACACATGCGAGCCAGGCTGATTTTAGACCTGGTCGAGGTTGCATCGACCACATCTTCACTCTTCGCCAAACTCTGGAGCACCGACATTCTTTTCGTAGACTCATCATCTCTGTCTTTCTCGATTTAAAAGCGGCCTTCGACTCAGTCGACCGCTCTAAATTCTGGCGCTGCCTTTCCGTGAAGGGTGTACCCAAGAAGTTTATTTCAATATTACGATCCCTCTATACTCAGCCGAGGTCGAGTCTGAGGTTACGGTACGTTTTCGCCCGAGTTCACCACAGGAAGCGGTGTTCGTCAGGGTTGCTCTCCTTCTCTCTCTNNNNCCCCCCTTTTCTATTTAACTTTGTTATAGATTTGATAATGGAAACAACCCTATCCTCGTGCGAGGATGACATCGATTTACTCCCAGGTGGCAGACTGTCCGATCTAGAGTATGCAGACGACATTGCGCTACTAAGTGAGGATTCAGTTTGGTTGCAAGCTTTTCTGGATAGCATTGCACGAATGAGGTGGGGCAGCCGGACGAGCAATGCTGAGGTTAGACGCAGGTATTCGCGGTCACCCATTGAAGCAAGTGATCGACATCCAAAGATTACATTGGTTGGGACATGTGTTATGCATGTTACCAAATAGGTTGCCACGGCGAGTGATGTTCACCGATGCAGGTAGTGGGTGGAAAAAGGCCAAGGGAGGTCAAACTAAAACCTTGTACGAGGGTATGAAAACCCTAACCAAGAATCTGGATCACGTAATTCCTGTTAATGTGGGCTGGCAAATATTGGAAAGCGGTTGGTTTGCAACATGGTACTGAAATCACTAACCTTGAATTCGTAGGTTTGGTGTGACCGCACCGGTCTCACTGCCTATAACGTCACTATGCAAGGATCCATGATGAAACTTGAGGGAGAAAACAATACAGCCATTGTAAAACTCTCGATTTTAGGACACCTCCATTACTTTTCACTTTCGTTTGTCTCGATGTTCGTGTCCACAGAAATTATCACTCTGTTCATATGCCATATAGCATAACATGTTTTCCTCTTTAGAGTATCAAGCTTGGATTAGCCCATTCGATTGTTCAGAGGCACCAGGCACTCTTGATGGTCCTGGGTGTGGGTCTCACTCCTTGAGAGATCGTTAATTTCCTCTTCTCTTCCGTCCTTACCTGTTGTTAGTCCTATTCATTGCGTTCGTGTTTATGACTTTCTTAATCATGACAACATTTGGTTGATCTTCATCTTTATCCGTACACCTCTATTTTCAGTTCCACTTTTTTTGTTCAGAACTTTTGCATTCGTCAAAATTATGTTGGTTAGTTGATACCAGTTCATAGTAATCCTTGTTGTAGAATACCGCCGAAGATACGGAATGGAACGATATTCTTCGACAAAAAGGCATACTGCCTCCCAAACCGTCCGCTCCGGTTGAGGAGCCTCCATCGCCTCCTGATCGAAGTAAGTTTTCTCGTGATGGACTAAGGAAAATTTCGTGCAGAATCAATCCTAGAAACTTTGACAGTCGACCAGTTGGGAGAAAAAGTTGAATTGGCCGAGGATGGAGTAGATGAAGAAGATGCCAAGTTCCTAGAAGAGTATCGTCGCAAGCGTATTGCCATGATGCAAGCAGAAGCTGCGAAAGCTAAATTTGGCTATGTTCGAGAAATTTCTAAAGCCGAATGGAAGTCTGAAGTGACCGAAGCTGGGGATGTGTTTGTCGTTATACATATTGCACAGAACGGGTGAGCCTTTCGTGCATTTACTTGTTTATTTATATTCGACCTTTCTTTTTCGATGGGAGCATATGTAAGTTGTTTTTAAACGAATTATGGTATCTAAAGAGGCAGCAATACAAAAACTGATATGGCAGGTGTATTCGCAGTGTTATGGAACTTTTACGGTATAACCACAGCAATGTTGATGTAGAAAGAAGAATATTGGACTGCCGTTAGGGGGTACTGACGCGACCGATTGCCCTCAATAGACTACAATGCTTTTCACATTTGTTGCATACCTTTTGCGAGCATTGTTCGCCCTAGTCCATGCTGGACAGTAAAGTTTTTTTAGCATATCGGAAAGATCATGAATGCCTAACTTAGGGTTTTGTTAATTGGTTTCGTCGAACTTCCTGAGTGGTATCGAGCACAGCCCATAACAGGTTAGATGTCGTGAGTAGGTGCGCTCATATGTCTTATCATTTTCATCATGCCTAACCTATCGGGGTCTTATGTGGCTGGCCACTCCAAGTCCCGGGGCTTAGGTTGCCGGTTTCCACCACTGAACAGCAGGCCCTCGTGACTGCGGGGTTCGCCCCGTCTTCTGTTCATCACACGTGGGTGGGTAATAAAAAAATCACTTATCCTCAAGTGCCCTGGTTATTGTTTCCTTGTCTCCATATCATTCACAGTCTAGTAATCTAGCTACTAACGGTCTCGGTCGGCACCATACGCCGAAGAAATCTGTTGGGTGACCTGCGTTAAACATGCCTCAGCTGTGTCGCCTAATGTTAACCTGGATACCCTCGGTTTAAACAGAGCTGAATGCTACCATGCACGTCTCAGGGTTGTGGATAGGGGGATACCTTCACCAAAGGCGTGCTGACACAAATAAGCAGTCGCATTAACAGGGTTTGGTGGGTTTCAGGCTGGTCATCTGGTTCGTGTTTAAAAGCTACATAAGCCCAATGACGGTGTCACGACAAAGGTCGATGTGACTGACCCTTTTAAAACTAGTCATTGGCCCCCCTCAGTTCCGAGGCGAGGGATTACTTCCTGGTGCCGTGCAGTTCGCACTTGGTAGTGCAAAGACTAGAGGTGCACCCTAAAAATATTTAAAAAAAACGCCGGGTGACGCTGGGGATGTCTATCGTACCAAACTCCTAAGGTACTCCATGATTATGATCATGTCTGGAGCCGGCTGCAGTAAAGAAAGTAAGTTAGCTGACTTGGATTGAATGGCATATTTAAGCATATCGGTCCGAATCTGTAACCTACTTTCCATAGAAAAATGGCTTTCGTGCTTTTCAACACATTGTGGACAGCGTCTATCTTGGTGCATTGCAACTTTCTCATAGGCGTTAGAGTTTAACATTCCCTGATGGTATGCGACGTTATGTTGCCCAGTAATACGCCTCAATCCCATAGTCTATTGCATTTGGCGTTCAGCTGGGCACTCTTGAAATTTTTATATCGCAGACCAATATCCTTAAATAATCACTTTTCCAAATGCCGAATACTACGAGATTTCGGCATAGTCCAATGAGATTCCGGCTATTTTCATGGCAACTGAGTGTTTACAGACATTCAAGAACAGCGATTCTGCCATAACCATTCTATCACCTGACATGTCTATGTGCACTCGGGTAGACTACTTTTCAAGAAAATTTGTCCCATTTGACATCAGTCCCTGGTACGCATAACACAACCCTGACGAACTTTATTCCGATTCTCTCTTCTCAGTCACCCAATTTGTGCTCTGGTTGACTCCCATCTCTCTGGTCTGGCACGAAAATTCCCCGCTGTGAAATTTCTTCGAGGTGAGGCCTGTTTGTGTATTCCAAACTATCCGGAGTCCAACTTACCATCGTTGCTTATCTACCGTTCCGGTGATCTGAAGCATCAACTTATCGGTCCCGAGTCGGTTGGTGGCAAGGCTGTCAGCTTGAAAGGTGAGCACTACGGGAGAGGACTTCGATTTCACTCCCATCTCCACCAGCATCTGGTTTATTGTCTCTGTCTGTAGAAGCGCGTCATCATACATCCTCCGCATGATTTCTGTACGTTTCTCCAATGTACCATACCTCGTTTCACATGCACGGGTGGATGTACCTGGCGATTTGCATTAAAACTCCTCACTGTGATATTTCTTTCGTGGTTCCAAAGAACTGTCTACCCCATTCTTGCGCATTTGTGTGTTCAGAGCAATAGGTTACTGTCAGCGTGCCTTATCTGGGTTGTCCCCTCACCACTGGTTTTCGTTCGACTGCGAAAATAGCACCCCTTCTGACCTAGCGATAGTGCAGTCTGTTTATTGTAGTGTACCATTGTGCTAACCACGTAACCAAATGACACCAAGGTTGCAATGCCAGGAACCACGGGAAACACTAACCGCATAAAGAGTAGTTGCATGATCATTGCTGCTTACGACTCTCAGTCAAAGCATCCTCCGTTGATTAGGCTAATCACCCACCTCTTCGAACTCTCACGATTCGGCATCGATAGCAGTACTCCAGAGCCAATAAATTCCGTGTACGTTTCTCTTCACGTATTAACCGTGTCTTTGCATCCGATCGGGTTGTTGCAGCACAACCAGACGGTGCAAAGCGCATACCGTGCATCGTTGCTTAAACACTTTAACAATTGAAGTAAATAAAACTATAAAAATGTCCTGTTCAGAAAAAATTAGTTCTACCAGACCTTCTCTCAGTTGTAGAATGCATTCGGCATGCTTTATGCTTAAAAATTTGCCTCGGTATTGTCCATTTAGTTGTCCGTCACTTTTATCTGTGAACGACCTTACAAACTCATCTCATTTCCTGACCTAGATTTCAACAATGATATTAAAACTCTTGACTTACCTGCAATGTTGCGTTTGATGTAAAGTTTGCAATTTTCGGAAAGTGCATGTCTGTGTCCAAGCTCATTTTTTAGCCACTCATACTTCGTTTTCGTCCCCCATTTACCACGCAGGTTTAGAATGGCGCCTGGGACAGCTGGGTGTGTTGGAAACCAAATTGACTGAAGATCCTGCTAAACGTATCACTGTCTCCACTGTATCTCGTCGATCAACCAATCGAATTGGTCATCGAGACTCGGATGAAGATTCGTCAGATTCCGACTGATAAAATCTACCGATTCGGTCACCGCTCTCTGTGCCTCCTGTCTTCGTTTGTGTTTACGCGTTCACTTATTGTTTCTGTCTATCTATTTCTTTCGCTGAACAACGCTTTCCCGACTTGAGCCAAACTTCTATGCGATGGTCGTAACAGATCCGCATTATCACGCGCTTCCTCCCGCCTAACTCACTACCACCCACGTGCATGCTTTCTTCTCCAACCTCAACCCTGTTCACTTTCACTGCCCAATATATATCACTTCACCTCCGTCTCTGTGTAATCTAGGTAACTTTTGTCTTTCATACCGTTACAGATGGTTTTAACATCATCAGTCTGCTACTGTATATGCTCATGACAAGACGACATACACAAGCACTTACAAAACGCTCAGTCTCTTTCTTACCAGTCTTAATGTTTTGTTTTCTTAACACAAACCAGAGTCTTGTCTGTCTTTAACAGTCTGTACTCTCACTTGTTGCGTGCTCATTGACATCATCTATACCGGGTCACCTATGTGCCTGTTTATGCGCCCCATGGTGCTCTGTCACCAGGTTTGTGGCTCGGAGGAGCAGCCGATGATGTCACTTGGCTGGGTGGGCACGCTCTACCAGCTGTCGTGGCCGTCGGCTTACATGCTACCTGGTGGATGCCATATGCCTCTGTAAGTTGGGTGGGTGACTCGAACGTGAAAAGATCAATGCTATCGGTGTGGTCTCGTAGCTCAGCTGGTACAGCGTGCGCTGTACAAAAGCGTAGGCGGCGTCCATGCGTGGGTTCGAGTCCCACCGGGGCTACTGAACTTTTCACGATTTCAACATAATAATTCCGCAGTTCAGTTTGTACACCCATTAACCATACACTTCTGTGCGGTGGTTTTGGCTGTCCATTTGGATGAAGCAGTGGGAGAAAGACGAGAGGCAAGAAAAAATGCACAGAACGATTAGGTGGGGTAGGTGTCTCTCTTCTAACGGGTTTGGTTCCAAAAGACTCCGTAACNAGCAAACCGACAGTATTGGTCATCATGCTGTCACTTCTTATCAGATCAGAATACTTGGAATATTAGGTATGCACAGCTGGCTTGTGCTCTCTTTGTGTTGACCATAGAAGTTCGCTTTCTCTTCCTGTCTCTAGAAATAGACCCAATCCCTGTTCTCCTCACGCATTTCTACTTATCTTGTATGCATTATGAGTTTGGCAGCTATCAGTGAAGCTCGCTGTAGAATCATGATGAAGATGATAGACGGGAAAGTTGAAACTAGAGTCGAATCCGAATTTTTACGTGTCAAACACTGTCTCCGGCACAATGTTGCAAGTAATCAACGATTTAAAATGAATTAGACTGAATCCTCAGAATCCTCAAATAGTAGGCATTCATTGTAGCGAAGCTGTTTACGATGCTGATTTTGGGTTCGGGTCGGGTCGAAAATTTTATTGCTATACTGATTTGCTGATTACCAGTTTGCGTGACGCGTTAGCAAGAGATGGTTATCCCGAGGAGTTTGATGACAAACGCAGTAGATTGAAAAGCCCGTTGTTGCATCAGCGTCTAGATTGGAGATCACTATTTGTCTTCCATTGAAAGGTGATGATGTAACTAATCTAATCCATCAACGGTTACGACCGGTTGTCAGCTGGACTTATTACGCAACCAAACCCAGAACTGTGCACAGGACAAGGAGTATACCCGTCCCGCCGGTTAAAGAACGCAAAATCACGTAATCTATCAATTTCAATGTGCTTGCGGAGACACTAGCATTGGTAGAACGGAAAGGCAATTACTTAATCAGGTTTTAGAACACATTCCGAATTGGGTTCAACGCAAGGCTTCCATGGCAAAGTCTACACAGCCGGTAACTGGCATGGTCCGCCCTTACAAATCACCAAGCTCTTCGATTGCCAAGCCCCTGTTGATGACGCAACACCTCGTGGATCGTGAGAAAGCATTTCGAGTGGTTTCCATTAATGCTAACACAAGAATGCTGAAGATCGCCGAGGCGATTGCAATCAACCAATGAAAACCAATTCTGTGTCAACAAAAAGACTTGTTCATCACCTTGATGACGCTTCCCCCCGTTTACAAGTGTTTATTATGTAATCCATTCCTAAACCCTATATAAACATGGTATTTGTCTGCAATAGGCACCAGTTGAGATGCAGCGAAGTCGTCCAGGGCATAAGTCGTGCAATTTTGCTATACTGGCTTCTCTTTTCAAATTTATCACGGGAAAAGCTTGTTTCAGTTTCTTGGAATCTCGTCTCCACATGTGTAAAAAGCCAAAATCTCAACATCAATATGCAAGTTTCATCTTGGTTTTTTGTAGTTGGGTCTGGTTAAGCGCAGTTGGGTTGTTTCATATAATAGTGCCACCGAGAAAAAATCGTCTGTCAAGAGCAGCATCAACATGAGCAATGTTTGGTCTCACAAAGCAAATAAAATATATCCGCATCCTCTTATGAGCCAATCAGGTGAGTTAGTCCGGTCAACCCCTTGTTATTGATCGACATCACTCATCACGTGATCCCGCCTTTCGTATGTGAACCGATCCAATCTTTGCAGTTCTCACGCGATGGAGAACAGGGAGATAGGCGGAAGATCGCGTGATAATTTTTCCCGAATAAAGGGTTTAATCCCACATTTGACACTGGTCGACACACCGGTTGAACCTGTCTATCCCACAGTCAATTATCTTCAATGCGCACTCACGACCAATTCAGAAACACGTGCGGAGAAAAAACGAATTAAATCTGTAAAGTCGTCCGTGGCCAGTGATCTACTTGTGGATCGTTATCCGACTAAGCCAAACAGTCGTAGCCCACATCAACGCTCCATTCTGCCCTATCGGCGTGAGACCAATGAGAAGGCCGTGGTCTACTTGACCGCAACCAGTCTATTTGATCGTCCGAAACAGGAAATGGATGATTTGAGCACCGGACAAACCGCGATTCGAAAAATTACGCAAGCATCCGATTATATACCAAAACCTAAACAAGCACAAAATCGTACCGGACATATCTTTCGTGAACCGCTAACCCTTATCACATTTCGACCATTATTAGCTCCGTTCGTCCCGGAACTTTTACGTTTATTGGTCAATTCGGTAGAAACATATTGCTATCAGCATGATTGGGCTCTTCTGTTTGAACCGTTATTGGACTATTATGAGGTAGCCAAAATGGCCTTAACCCGTCTGGTTGCACTTTGGTACGACACGCACGAGATGCGCCAGATTATCAAAACCCTCTCGGTTCCGGTTAAAATTGTCACTGTTCGCTTATTTCTGGATGAGCTGGCTGTGAAACCGCTCCTGTTCAAACGAAAACACGTGAACGAATTGGTCAAGATTCCCATGTTCGATTTCTTTCTACGACCGCATCCTCGTGTTCGAGCAATTGTCCAACGGGCAATCATGGCCTCATCTGCTGTGCATGTTGACACG